CCCCGTACCGTTGAATCCTGGCTCCGACACTGAAAAAAGGGATTAATAAGATACTCGAAAAGGCAGTCCACGTACCTAGAAGATTTTTTGTTGTCGTGGGGAAAAAAGGTTGTCCTACTTCAACACTTTTATTAAAATTGCATATGAATGGTGGTCCAAAAATCACAAATGACCTAGTTTTGGGGTCTATCTTTGGGCAACTTCTTTTTTGGGGAAATGGTGAGTAGTAACTTTTCCATAAAAATAAATATATAGACTTTAAGAGCTAATAGACATTCTACTCACAAAACCCTCCCTTACAAAACTATGCACAACCAAAGAGAAAAAGCCAAGAAAATGATTGATCCCACATGACCCCAAGATTTTAAAAGATTGAGGGAATTTTTATTTTATTTTGATGATCTTTTGTATCTCTTTCTCTGTGTGTGTGTGTGTTTTACTGCAAATTTAGCTCTGAAATTTGATAGAACTCTTTCTTCCTCTCTCTCCACCCTCTCCTCATTCTATGCAAATTTGGCTCTGAAATCAGTGAAAAAAGAAAAGTTTCCAAGAAAACTTTGTCACTTCTTGCACCAAATTTATATGAGGGCTACAAAACCAATGCAAATTGACTTTGCTGCTGCAAACTCCAATGCCAAAAGTTATACTTTATAAACATTCTCAGTAATAGACTTTTCTCGATTTCAACTCCACATTTATACCTCAAAATTTACCTTCTGTGGGCTATTTGTTTCATATAAGAAGTTAAAGTGCTGTTTCTATTATTTGGATGCCATGCCATGACTTGGGCAAAGTAGCGTAGGTAGAATCAGTGCTGAGGAAAAGACATTCGAGAGAAAAGGACAACTCGACTCCTAGCTGTTTTGGACCGAGAGACCAGTTGGCTTTTTTTGCGGTCAGGCATAAATTAGTAAGTACTACCCTCCAACATCAACCGGGCTTGAACCATTTCGCACCTCTTCTTCGCGGACCATCTTTCGTCTTTCTCGAGAAAAATATGGGGATAGGGAGAGTGTTGGTTTGCTTGTTTCTTCTTTTGATTTTGCTATTATATGTGGAAGGTGGGAATAGTCAATTCAGCAAATTCAAAGGCAGTAGTTCTTGTTCTGGTTCTGCCAAAAAAGCTCACAAAAATGGCTTCAAGGAAAACGCAGAAAAGGATTGTGCTGAGATTTTTGGTGCAGAAAAGAGAAGAGTCTACACAGGTCCAAATCCTTTACACAACAGATAAGTAGCAAACAAAAGCAAGCTTGATTCTCTCACTCAAGCCATGAATTTTTCTTTTAAAATTTATTGTATTTTTGGTCGCTACATGTTTCGTAGACCAAAAAGGGCTCCCGTTCATAAGAGTGACCGATATCGGGGAACACATTAGGAGAGAGACGGGTAGACCGGAATTAATATGGCCGGTCGAAGTTGTTAAGGATCTTGTTATTTCAAATCTTCCAGTAAATCTAACAATGTAATGGTGAAAAATGATTTATGTAGCAAAAATTGATGTTTTGTTATTGTTTCTTCTCCACATTTCTGAACAATTTGTTTGAAAAAATGATAAAATATTTTTTTAGGTTACTTTTCTGTTACTATTAATAAATACCATTAATGTGTGGTGGTTGGTGTGATGAATATACTATGTCTGATAGTTTTTCCAGTTGGTTGGTATTTACACAGTTCCTCTTATAGTATAAAGATGGAATGCCTTGGAAAAGAGGTTTTTCATTTATTCTTTCTTTTAGTCATTTACTTGTGCAATTTTTGTACAAGACAACCCAACTAAATGATAGCACATTTCTAAAGTAAAGATACTTACTGATGATAGTAAGTTGTGATGATGTGATATTTTCCTCGATTTAAAATCGAATACAAGAATTATTTATTATCGTTTCATTCGATTTCTTTTATTGAAAATTCGAAATATTCAATTCAATTACGTATTTAGCAACTATAATGGTCCGTTTGATTGTAAATATAGAATTTTGGTGGAAAGAAAATGAATTATAGGGAATTGAATTATTTAGAATTTGTTTTACTATGAATTTTAATTAATTGTGTTTGATTGATATAATTTTCCACCTGAAAAATGTTGAAAGTTTGGTGTCCGTTTGACTTCGTTTTTCACGAAAATTGTCCATTAAAGTGATAATTTTTTTTTTTACCATTTGGTCTAGAATTTGCTCAAATTGCCAAAAAAATTAAAAAAAATAAAAATATTGTATTTAATATCATTTGTTTGGCTTTGTTTTGCATGTAAATTATCAATAAAAGTGATAAATTTTTTTACCATTATATCTAGAATTCTTCCCAATGGCAAACAAAAAAAAAAAAAATTAACCTGAAAAAACAATTTTCACCAAATTGATTTTCCACAAAACCAAGGAAAAGCATACGTAAGAGACAAAACCAAGAAAATCAATTGCCTGGAAAATATAGTGTATCAAACAAGACAACAGTGAAAATTGAAATTTGTTTTCCATTTTCCATGAAAAATAATGGCCTATCAAACAGGCCCTGATAATTAATTTAAATGTGTTTTAACTCAAAAACCCTCTACTAAATGAGGGTTTTATGATGAAATTTCAAGACTCTGTATCGTATCAAACCCAAAAATTCAAACTGGCAATTTGATTCGTAAAAAGCTCAAGGTGCCATTGGATTCTAAGATTTTAAAGTCAAAAGCTCAAACGAACCACCATCTTATAATAAGAATGTTAAGAGTAAAATCTAAATATTGCTTAATAATATAAAAAAGACTTGAGATGATGTTTTAAGATGAAACTTCAAAACTCGATATAAAATAAACAATAAAATGCACATATATATAAATCGTTAGCCTTTTCAAGAATTTTTTAGGTAGGATAGAAATCGTTGTCTAGTTGTTTTCACTCAATTTTCCTGATTAATAGAGGCCCCCCAACTGATGGATCGTTTGGTTCAAATTACCTTCTAATTCACTCACTGTCGATAATTATCAATTACCTTGTGAATAATAAGTTCAATTATATACTTAAACGTCCACCACCTAATGATGTTTATGGCTCCACTATAATCAATAATATTTGGAGTTGCCCGTAATTTTGTTCACATTTGTAAAATCAAGTTAGAAGATGTTGCAGTAAAACTTAATGTTAAGTTACCTTGTCTAAACGATTAAATGATCAAGTATTAAATTTTATAAATAGATGCCGAGATTTGAACTCAAATATTTGTTGATTTTAGATATATGTTCAATTATCTCGTATAAATGTTACATAAATTATAACGAGAATTAAGGATTCCGTGTTCGTTTTTCTTGTAGATGTACAAATTTTGGCGAAAAGTTTCTTTTAAAGTGATATGTTATTCAAGTTTAATAGCAAAACCTTTTAAAAAGACATGAATGATCTTTATTTTCCCTCATATATACTGAATGAAGTAAAAGCAAAAGCATTGTAAACATAATAAGTTAAATTATTTGTTGTTTTTGTTAAGCTAAACATGCACAAAAAAAAAAAAAAAAAAATTCTTTTACTGTTATCATGCCTACGCACTATACGCTAGATGTCGACCTCAAGGACATCGTCGTTGCTGAATCGCTCGTCTCACGTGACAAGAAGGTGACGGCCTAATGCGACATTAAATGATAGGTGAAATTAAATAAGTCATTTAATTTCACCTATCATTTAACCAATCATTTACATCCACATAGATTGAGGATGCATCCCTACTGGGGATGAATAACATTTTTCTTTCCCATAAGTCATCCACATGTTACGGTCAAGAACTAAAAAACTAGTAACCAGGTTACATGATTCAATTTAGATCTCTTATTATTATTATTTTTTTAAACAGTGAAATATAAGTATTGATTCAATCAATAACTCACCAATATTCCATACTTGGGGTGTGTTTGAGTCACATTATTTTGAAAGAATGTATTATGGAATAGTAGATTGATGGAGAATATGTGGTTGAAAATGAAGGAAAATTTATTGATGTGATGAAAAATATTATTTTATTGAAAAATGTGTGATTGAAAATGAATAGAAGAATAAGAATGAAAAAAATAATGCGTACCAAACAGGGACTTGNAAAAAAATAATGCGTACCAAACATGGACTTGGTATGCATTGGTGGGACAACACGGTACAACACAGATAAAATTTTTAACTTATTTTTGAAAATGTGCTCAATATCATTAATTCGTTGTCCAAACATAAAATCTTGCAAACATAAACGCTACAACATGAAATCAAATTCACAAAGAAACCACACAATTTTGACAAGTCATGTTCCAATAGAGGAACTAAATTGATTTTTGACCAATATGTTCACGTATGTTACAATCTAAACTTAGCTTTGAAAAAAATTGCAAACGATGTTTTTATTATTTATTAGTATTTGGATTTTTTTCCTACCTTTTATCAACAATATCCTTATCCTTGCATTTTTATTTAGATAGTTTTCATTATTTGGTATGCGCTCACCAAAAATGTATTATTTCGAATATATTTTCTAAGAGATAAAAATTGAGAACACTAAGAAGTAAAGGTATGAGACGACGACAATTTTCCCCATCTTTTACTTTTAGGAAACACGAAATATATTAAAGTAAAAATAATTTATTTGCAAATGTTTTGAAGTGAAAAACGATTAATTTAAAAATACGTCTTTAAAAAGTATGGAAAATTTGTTGGTGCACATAGATAATGATTTTCTGGAGAGAACGTGCTCTTGAAAATAAGTTTGATGAAAAATCATTTTCAAATAAGCTACACCAAACAAATGCTAAACCTTAACTCGAATTTGATTGTCTGTAGCCTAGTTAACGTATATACAAAATCACAAAACATAATTTAAATAAATAAAAATAAAATTAATGAACAATTAACGGAAAAAAAAAATTGTTTAATGAGACACATCCCATCATATCTGGTCGTGTCCTGTTGAGTTTTCCCATGTTTAAAATCAACATAATTTAACACTGCAGTTTTTTCCGAGGTCCGACAAATTTCTCAGTGCAGTTAAAGATGGCAATAAATTGCCAGAATTGAGTGCAGAAGAGCCATAAAAACCACCATTCTTCCAACCACCAACATGTTCTTAACTATGCCATTGCATTTAACAAAAACACCTGTGCTGTTGAGAAGGACAAAATCATAACAGCAGCAATTATTCATTTGAAAGCACAAGCCAGGTTAAAATTGCATTCATGTAGAACATGGTATCGAAAAGTTATCTGAGAGCAAATGTCTCGAGGCTCGTGTCACATCAACTTTCATTGAATGCCTAAAAGTTACAATCAAGCATCGAGTGGCGAGTGCCATGCGCCACAGGGTGGTTGAAAATGACTATATTAATCTATTTTATGTTCGTTAGCAAGTTAAAATTTGAATTTTGTTTTATTATTGATTTTAAGATAATTTGTTATGAGCATATTTTTGTATTCTTTTTGAATTATTCATCTGTTCGTCTTCATGCATTCTTCATCCCAGTAAATAATCATCCCTAACTAATCACTGTAACGCAAAAAGTTGCAGAAATAAGAATATTGACAGTTGTATTTGGTGATTCAGAAAACTCGGGTGCGTGCTCAAAATCTCCCCCAATCCTTCTTTATCAACCCCAAATAATTTGTACCGCTTTCTCCACACCATAGCCAAAATTTTATGGTCAATCATTTATACAATAAATGTTAGGAGGGTGAATTTCATGGTATATCTGTCAACTTTTCAGCTATCACAGGGAAAATAAAAATCTGTGGGGTATATAACAGTGTGTTTGTCAACTTTTCGACTATCACAGGGAAAATAAAATATGCGGGTCATATATGATATATATATATAAATCTTATACGTGAAAATGAAATCAGAAGATAACTCTTACAAGAGTTTCTATCTTATAGAGATCAGCAATATTATAACTAACTACCAACACGAGATACAAGGGTAAAGAAAAAAAATTTCATGGACTTTTTGCCAGTAATCAATTTAAGCCGTGGAAATAAATTTCCATATTTTAATCATTTTCATCATTTATTCATGTAATCAACTAACAATGGTCTCTCAGGTCTAATTGTAAATGAAATCAGCCCCGTGCAAAGCCATGTAGCAGAACATGTACAACCTTAACCCCTCCTCCCCGCTAACCATGAAAAGACGATATCAAGCAGGAGATATAACATAAACCCTCAATTCTGTCATTTCATCAGAAAATACCTAAAAGCTTGTAGGCAGTAGCATAGTTCAGGTCGTTTCATCAGAAAATACCTCAAAGTTTGGAGGCAGTAGCTGTGGTTTTGCTCAAGGCAATTGCAACTTTAGAACCAGAAGGCCGGCCCAAATGTTTACAGATAAATTCTCCAGCCAACATGAGCTTTCTGAGATCCACATTTGTCTTCACTCCTAGTCCATTTAGCATGTAAACAACATCCTCAGTCGCAACATTTCCAGAAGCACCTTTGGCGTATGGGCAACCGCCTAAGCCCGACACAGAAGAATCGATTGTCCTGATACCCATCTGTAAAGAACACCACTACATAACTAGCATACACCTTTAGTTATAGCATGTCCCATATTACCAATTCCAGACAATTCTTCAGAAAATAAATTCTTTTACAGAAATTTTCTAATTTTTTAAGCAAGCAAGGAATGCAAGCTGCAAAGCAATTCTACCGTGAACTGGCATATTATTCCGTATAGATTGTAACTGAGTTGGTAGCTTAAAAAGTTCAGTTAAGAGTAGATAAGAAGTTTTAATAAAATTATTTTTATTGAGAAAAAATTATCATAAGTTACTTATTTTGACACTATAGTAAGTGCTAAAATCAATCGTGTTAGGAGAAAATTACTTAAAGTAGCATTTGCTTCTCTCTCTCTCTCTCTCTAAAAGCTCAGCCAAACATGCTTGGTACATTGATGAGATGGAGCTGAACTGACATTATTCTGCCACATTTATATGGCCTGCATATGCGATTACTTCAACATATTTGATACCGCTACCTTCACATCTGCCTTTTCTGAAAGACACAATTTTTCAAGAGTGCAAGGCATCATTAACGATGTCACGTTCCTCTTAAAAGCTTCTTTACCTTCTTCCACTCTTCCACATTAACTTTTTATGCTTAATTGGTCGATATTGAACAATTGTTAACTCATTATCCATTCCCATAACATGCTACACTACTAATAAGGTTTATCCAACTTAACCATGTGAGATCCTGGCTGTTTAATTGTTATTGTCTTTATTGTTCCAACTCCTTCCTTGACCATTTCACATCAATGTCAACATCTGCAACTCTTTCCTGAACTTTCTTCCCCCTCTCCCCTCTCCCCTCCCACCTTCCATTATTTTTTCTGCGAGCCCAAGTATTTTTAGTTCATAAACTCAGCTGTGATACCACACTTCCACTTTATGCAGAAACATGATTCTTCATATTGAGTGACATCAGACCATAAAAGACCAATTTAAAATTTTTAACTAGTTTACTGTGGGAAAAAAAAACTATCTAGCAAGCATGTCAATAGGACAAGTTTTCATTTTTTTACAAAAGGCAGCTCAAGAGGGAGATAAAATTACTTGGAGTGATATAAGAATATTTGAAAGAGCTTGTCCATAAGTATCGTGAAAATGAACAGCAAGTTTCTCTATGGGGACAACTTCAAGAACAGCTTGAAGCATTGGAATGACAGTCCCTGGCAAAAGCGGCAAAGCATTAGAAAGTTGAAAAAAAAGATTGAAAAGTTTCCAAAGCAAGAAGATAAAGCAGAAAAGAACAAAGATAAATCTACTTGGGCATGATCAATATCAAAGGGTCCATTTGACAGATTCTCCGTACCAACATTGGGACAGAAAGGGTCTATGAAGTCATTATGCTCATACACTAAATAAATTCACATTTACTGTGTGTCAAAAGATTATAAATGTTGAAAAGACAGCATTGTGTGCTAAGTCACATGTTCAAATAGTGGGCGGTGTAAGATCATGATGCAGAAGTGCACATAAGAGGTCACCTTTGATCTCAATTCATAATTGGGTAAATCATGGACAGATAGATAATTTTAAAAATAATCACAAAAGTCTAGGATATATAATGCTAAAATCTCGGTATCAAATCCGAAAAATACTCTAAAGAGATCAGCTCACCCTTAAAATAGGAACATCATCTCAAAGAATCAAGAAGAAACAATTCCCAAATATTTGATATAACAATTGAGATATCGAAGTACAGCAATTTATTGCAAACTAGAGCCCCTCAAGTGAAAATTTTGAATTAAGACAGAAAAGAGGACAGCCCCATATACAACATGTACATAGAGTACAATTACTTTCTATATCTTGAAAACAGCCAAGAAATGCATCCATGAGTCTGTAGAGGGGAAGAGATTGTCCCCTGTAGAGCTTTATAATATGATTTATAAGAGCTGTCATTCTCTAAAACAATAAGTAGTTTAATGAACAGGTAGGTTGACAACCAATTCAGAAAAATATCATCAAATTGAAAGGATACTTTGTTTTCAGTGAATGTGTATATACGGTTTATGGTGAGAGGAGACTGAAAAATTTGTCTGAGAGATGGAGATTATTCTCTAGGCCTTGGTACTAAAAAGAAAAATCAAGGAAATATCATGTCTACCAATAGAAATATGTGTTTGCTTATGGAGGCCATATAACTCATTACTATTAAAAGAGCTTAGGTTGATACTGAGAAGCCAATAAATTTATATAAAAGCACAATCTCTTTATGCAAAACATCAGATAGTAAAGCAACACGAAATATATTCCTTCACTCATTAATATGCATCAAACTGCAAATTTGTTTTTCGTTTTGCTTTTCTTTTTCTAAGCATAAGAAGAAACTGAACTGAGGTCATTTTGGTCGGTAAGATGTTGCTCAGGAAGCAGGTTAAAAGGCAGTTCCAGCATTACCAGGAGTACCAACCCCAATCGTGTCACCAAGGGAAATTTCAGTGCAACCCATATTAAGAAGTTCTTGTGCGACATACACCACTTGCGATGGAGGTATTGCTCCTTCCACTGGACAACCCACAACACATGATATGTATCTGGCAAAAATTATACAGCAATTACTATGAAAAGTTAGATAATGAATTGTTTTTGTTCCTAGAAATTTTTAAAATTCAACCATAAACTAAATGAAGATTAGTAAAGAAATAAAGTAGAAAACATGATATGTAATGGATGTTGCCAAATGATATGATCTTTTGATCCAAAACTAAAAGTGAGATCTGGGTAATTTTAACTATCCCAATATCATTACAAGACATGCATAACATGCATTGGTAAGAGGCATTCCAGGAGAAATCAAAGAAAGTGACTCATCAATGAGAGAAAAGTTAACACATTCTAATTTGTCATCCCAAGTAGCTCACCAAGTCATTTTCATATGGTTTAGCCAGAGCAAAGGAAAGGTGCCAAGATTTGAATCTCATGGTTCCTCTTCAAGCAATTTACTATACGTTGGCAATGAGGGCTTAAAGGGTCACCAAGTACATAATCAAATAAACTGTAAACAAACAACATTCAAACAAATTACGGCCACGAATAAGATACAAACAATCAGCATGGCTCAGTGGAGTGCTAAACAATTAGGCACAATAATCTTCAGTTACAATGGACTGAGTGTTGGTTCCACTATGAAGAGAAAAACTTTATTTTCTTCTTTTTGAATTATGTACAGTACACACCCTTACTTATAGTACATGAGGGGAGAGCATAAAAGAAAAAGAAAAAATTCCTACCATATCTAAAGATTACAATAATCAAAGAATATTGTAAATATTCTAACTAAGGAAATTAATAATGATTTCCAATCTTGGTCAATTATCTCGTGATTTCAACACTCCCCCTCAAGTAGGATCATAAATATTTATCATATCCAACTTGAAGATGAAATCTTCGAATTTCTGTTTAGGTAGTCCTATGGTAAAGATATCTGCAGTTTGCTCTTGCGTAGGGATATAAGTCATGCAAATAATTTCTTTCTCAACCTTTTTTTAATAAAGTGCATGTCCACCTCCATATGTTTAGTTCAATCATGCTAAACTGGATTAAGAAAAATGTTGATTACTGCTTTATTATCACAGTAAAGTTTGACTGATGGCTTTATTGTGACATCTAATTCTTCTAGAAGTTTCTTTAACCATAGCCCTTGACATATTCACTGTGCAAGAGCTATGAATTTAGTTTCAGCACTACTTCTGGCAGTTATATTTTGTTTCTTACTTCTCCAAGTTACCAGGTTTTCCTATACAAAGGTATAGTAACCAGCAGTATACCTTCTATCATCTATTGATCCTGTCCCAGTCCGCATCTGTGAAGATTTCCACTTCTTTTCTTTCGTTTATTTTGAAAAATAGCCCTTTTCCTGAGGAACCCTTGAGGTACCTGAGTATTCTATAGACGACTTCTAGGTAGCTTTCGTTAGGATCGTGTATGTGTTGGCTTACCAAACTAACTGCAAATGCGATGTCAGGTCTGGTGTGTGACAGTTAGATTAGCTTTCCAACTAATCTTTGATATCTATCTATTTCTACTAGATTTCTTCCATCATCAGTTGTCTTTCCCATATCCATTGGTGTATCGCTTGGTTTACATTCTAGCATGCTAGTTTCGGTTAGAAGATCAAGAACCTATTTTCGTTGTGATATACTGATGTCTTGTTTTGATCTAGCAACTTCCATTCCCAGAAAATACCACATAGATCCTAGATCTTTTACTTTAAATTCAATGGCAAGGCTCTTTTTCAGTCTTTCCATCTCTGCTATATTATCTCCTATTAGAACAATATCATCAACATATATGATTAGAATCATTTTAGTACCATTTTCAAATTGTCGAAGAAATATAGTCTGATCTGAATGTCCTTGGCCGTATCCTTGGCTTTTCAACACTCTTGCAAATATGACAAACCATGCTCTTGGTGACTGCTTGAGTCCATATAAGGATTTTTTCAGTTTGCATACTTGGCCTTTTCCCTCCTTTTTGCAAAAACCTGGTGGTAGCATCATGAAAACTTCTACCTTCAATTCCCAATTCAAGAATGCATTCTCAATGTCCAGTTGCTGATGTGACCAGTCTAAATTTGTGCTTAATGATAGAAAAACTCGAATGGTATTCAACTTAGCTACTAGCACAAATGTCTCTATGTAATCAATGTCATAGTTTTGTGTGTATCCTTTTGCGACCAACTAGGCTTTATACCGTTCTATTATCCCATCAACTATGTATTTCACAGTGAAGACCCATTTACATCCTACGAGTTTCATTCCCTTCAGTAATTCCATCACTTCCCAAGTTTCATTTTTTTTTCAATGCACTCATTTCTTCCAATAATGCCTTTCTCCATTCTGGAATTCTCAATGCCTCCTCACTATTTCTTGGAGCAACTTTACTATCAAGGTGAGCTGTAAAAGTACGAAATCCTATAGATAGAGCAGCATAGGACATGAATTTTGAAATAAGATGTCGAGTACATGATCGTGGTTGTTTTCTGAGAGCAATAGGTAAATTAGTATCAAATATTTATGATATTCTATGAGGATCTAGAGCTATCATCGGTTCTGACTCTCTTGGTGCTTCAGTAGTGAGATTCTTCATGCACTTTGATTTTAGCTTTCGTGAATAAACTAATATCTCTTTATCAGTTTGTTTTTCTACTTTTTCCCCTAGATTCAAGTGTCCTTTTATCAATGGCATATTAGAATCAGATAGTGAAATAGGTAGGGTAGGTACAGGAGGAGAGAGACTCAGGTCAAGGAACTGATCTTCATATAATATCTTCCCCTGAAGAGAGGTTTTTTCGAAGTGCGGATTATTTTTGAAGAAAGTGACATCAAGGCTTACAAATATTCTCTTTGTGGAGGGATCATAGCACTTGTACCCTTTTTGTGTAAGAAAATATCCAAGCAGGACACATTTGATTGCCAGGGGATCAAGTTTATTTCTTCGATGAGAGTGGACATGAATGAAAACGATACACCCAAAGACTCGTAGAGGTAGATTGAAGCTGAGACAAGAAGTTGAAAAATATTCCTGGAATTTTTGGAGTGGTGTTTCGAGTTTAGGGCATGGCTAGGCATTCGTTTGATGAGGTAAATGGATGTAAGGATAACGTTTCCCCAGAACATTCAAGGCATGTTTGTAGTGAACATTAAGGCATGAGCAACGTCTAGTATATGTCTATTTTTGTGTTCAGCAACCCTATTTTGTTGGAGAGTTTCGACGCATGAACTTTGATGAACTATGCCATGTGCTTGGAGAAAGTCTCCTAAGATATTATTAAGGTATTTCGTACCATTATCAGCGTGAAGAATTTGAATCTGTGTTTGAAACTGCGTTTGAATCATAGAATGGAAGTTTATGAATACATTTCGAACCTCGAATTTAGCTTTTAGTAGGTAAACCCAACAAATTCTAGAGTGATCGTCATTGAACGTGACAAACCATTTGGAGTGAGTCTGGTTGGGACTTTTTGAGAGGCCCCACACATCATTATGAATCATGGTGAATGGCTGTGATGGAAATGATAAACGTTGATATTTTGCAAGCTCACAGATTTCACATTGAAAATTAAATGGCTTTTCATTCAAGAAAATGGAAGGAAATATATGTTTCAAATATTGAAAATTGGGATGTCCTATTCTAAAATGCCATAATACAATTTTACTATTTTGAGGACAGACGCAAAATCACAAACTTTAATTTGACATTGGTTACTCACAGTGGCCTCATCAAAGTAATAAAGTCCTTCACTTTCCTTAGCACTATCAATCGTCTTTCCCGATGAAAGGTCCTAAAAAACACAGTGAAATGGAAGAAATTTAGCAGAACAATTGGAAGTTTTTGTTAGCTGACTTACAAATAGTAAATTGTGTGATAAGTTCAGAACATGACGAACAAATTCCAAAATTATAGTGTTAGAAATTTGAATATTCCCCTTTTTATGACCGTGGATAGGGAACCATCTGCAATTTTAACTTTGAGATTACCCGTACATGTGGAGTAAGATGAAAATAGGTGGTAAGAGTCCTTCATCTGGTCCGAGGCTTCGGAGCCAATAATCCATGGCATTTTAGATTGAATGGTAGAGTTTAAGACTCTTAAAAAATCACCTTTATGAGCTAATGAACCGGAATAATTATTTGTTTGACTCGACGATTGGAGGCTCAAGAACATCTTGTACAGTTGTTCCATTTGCTCAGAGTTAAAAACACTACCTGTCTACTTGGATCGTCCAGTCTGAACCGAGCATTGTCTCCTGCATAATCCTGCTGTTCTTCAGTACTCAAGTCGAGTTATGCCACAAAGTTGTCATCTCCAGGTAGTATTCAGTGACCTTTTAATCGCCCTTCTTAATTTACCAAAGTTTTGTCTTAAGTCTAAAAAATTGGGTTGAATTCTCAGAGTCTGAATAAGTATCCTTGACAGCATGCTACACATCTTTCACCGACGGCAGGAACAAGTAGGTCTTTTCAATCTTGGGTCTCATGTAGTTTATTAGCTAGCAGTCACCATGAAATTCTCTGACCTCTATTTTTTAAGAAGGATGAGGTTGG